GTTTTAGGGTGCAGCTGCAAATACTCTTTGTTCCCTTTGAAAACGACTCTGGCCCCCCGGTTTGACAGCTCCCCTACCTCCAGGCCCAAGGTCTTTGCCATATTAGCCACAAAGGAGCCTCTCTCCATCTCCTCCACTACTGAAAACTGCTGCGGCTCTGAGGCCGCCCCAGACACACCCAGCAGAACAAGGAGAAAGAGAACTTGCCTTTGTTGCGGAATCATTGCTCCTTCTCGTTCCATTCTTCCTTTAGCCCCCTCCTCTCAGTCTGCGTAGCCCAGCTCGATTGCAAATGGTAACCAGAGGCTACCACTTTTGTCTGTCTGGTAGGGAAAACTGATCTCTTTCTCCAGGGGCAGCTAACAAAGCTCCCTCTCTGCTTCTGAACTGTCTGATTCTGGGCTCTTCCTGGGTATTGGTGTGTTCGCGGAGCTTTTCTGGCTCTTCTTAGTCTGCAGCGCCACCACGCGGTTCTTCATTATTTTTTTCAGAATGAAGTAAATAATGTCACAGAGAACATGTACCAGATATCATACTTTCAATTCTATTTTGTAAAACAAATGGTACATAGCTTCTTTTCTGCAGGGCAATCCATATCAATGCTATAACCACTCACAACGTTACCTCACAGCACACACATATAGGCATATGAATGTATTTATCTATATATATGTTTTTTTAAAGTTGGTTAAAATGGATATGATTCTGTCAAGAATGTAGCCTTCCAGACCTCAAAGGCAATAATGAATATTTGATCAGCAAAAGAAAGGACTTTTGCTAAAAAAAAAAAACAACATTATACTCAACTCTACAAAGCTTAAAGGGCAGGCAACCTTTTGAGAATAAATGGTGAAGAGTGAATGGGGTGTGGGGTGTAGTGAGGAGGAAGGAAACAGCAGTATCCAGGTTGTAAGCAACTGATATTTCCTCTCCCTCTCAAGTATGTTAACCTATAAGACCAAAAAGCTAAGATGTTTCTTATCTGATCTATCTAGTCATCAAAGGTCTTTCTTCTTTACAACTGTAATGGTTCAAGGGTTCTGAGGCCAAGGGGCTGTTTGTTAACAGAATCTGGATATTACTCTTTTATGATTCAATATATACCACCCAGGCCAGCTAAGTGGCATAGTGGATGGAGTGTTGGGCCTGGAGTCAGGAAGACACCTTCCTGAGTTCAAATCTGGCCTCAGACATTTCCTAGATGTGTTCCCCTGGGGAATGCTTAACCCTATGTTGCCTCAGTTTCCTCATCTGTAAAATGAGCTGGAGAAAGAAATAACAACAGCACCAATACCAGCCAGGAAACTGACTCTCAGGGAAGGGAGGGTTCTTAGCCCAGAATTGTTTTTCCCTGAAAAAAAAAAAAAAGGATTTCTTGGAAGGTTCATCATAGAAGATGATAAAGTTTTTATCTGAGCTAATCAGTTTGGAAAGGGGGAGGCAGTAACCTGGCAAATGGAACTTGCCTCAAGTCTTAGAGAATGACTCTTATAGGAATTTCAGGGGAAAAAAGAAAAGGGGGAAAAAAACCAAAAAGCATTATTTTAGCATTTTAAATCCAGCACAGAAGAAAGCATAAGGATACATAGATAAGCAATGCAATTTTGAAAATACCATCAAATTTCTAATATGTGCATTTTAAAATAAAGTGAAGGTAATAGAAATTTGTGGCTTCATATACAATACCCAATTCTCTTTTTATGGAATTGTTTTGTGTGTTTGTTAAGCTTAGAAATAAAAAAAAAGCTTTAAAATATTTTTTAAAAAAACAGAGAGAAAGAGAGAAGAAAGGAGAGAGCAATCTGAGGAAAACTTTACTCCTTTCCTCTCATACCAGGAAGATAACACCTTATTTCACCAAATTAACTTCTGAAACAATCAGAAGAGCAAAAAGAAGAAACAAAAACAAAAAAATAAAATCCCAATGGAGTATATGCTGATTCTATCTGCGGAGAATGTTCTGAGATTGGAAACTCCCACATCCCAACTTCACATTCTCTATTTTAGGTTTTAATGATATAAGATCATGGGAAAATAACTGCAGGCAACTGGATCGTATCTACAGTAATGTTACCCAAAAAAAGAGGCAGCACAATCTGGGAGACAACATGTTTAGTTGGAGTCAAGAATACCCAGTCAAATATCCTTCCTCTGACACTTTCTACTTATGTCGCCAATGTTAAGCCACTTAATATCTATGCGTCAGGGGCTACTCCATAATGATGGTGTATTAAGTCACAGCTGAGTTGTTCCACAAGTTGAAGAAATCCCAACTCTTTTGTGCATTAGGTCATGAAAAGAGGAAAAGTTCCTGCCCCATATTGAGCCCCAAATAATGATAGAGTAAGACATGGTATATCTTCTTAATCTGTTTTTAAACATAGTTTAAAAACTTGTATTTTTTTTTTGCAAATTAAAGAATAGATTGTGGTCTCAAATAAATGCAATTTTCTTTTATTTTCAAATCCGGGTGATTATATCTTGTATGAAAAGTAAATAGTATTTCTTCAAAATTGAACATTGATTGAACTGGAACTGAGTTGAAAGACTTGTGAAGATCCTTCCAGTTCAGACATTCTGTGATAAAATTCAGAAGGGCTATGAATGAATTCTCTCAAAGGCCTCAGACAGATATAAAAGCACACACTTTGTCCAAGATGGTGACAGTCATGAACTGGCATGTTCCCCAAACTGAAAAATGATTTAAATAACCAGAAGGGAAAATGAAGATGTATTTATTTAAACTTATTTTCAGGCCTTGAGGAGGGAAAGGAATAAGCATTTATTTAATACTTATGTGCCAGGCACTGTGCTAAGATCTTTACAAATATCATCTCATTTAAACCTCACCACAACCCTGTGAGGTAGATGCCTTGGCCTTCTAAAGGATGTAAAAATTCAAATCTATGAGATTGAAGGAAAAAAGTGGCATAAACATATACAAAGTAGCTCACAAGAATAACTTCCCAGAGCCATAACAACAGGTACTACTCTACTTCTTGAAATTTATTAAGAACATTTAAACATTAGAAGTCATCATTAATGTGCAATGTCATTAGAATATTCAGAGGTCAAAAGTTTGCATTTAGTATTTCATAATTGGCTTCAAACCAAGATATATTCTTTCTTCACAAGAATTTACCATATACTTGTCTTTATTAGCTTCATAAAGGTGTATTCTAGCCAATTTTTTTCACCAATACCTTAGTGTTCTTCATTAGTCCTTGTTATTTTCCAAAACCAGGCATTGCTTAGGGGATTGTCATCAGAAACCACAAATAAGAATATTTTCAGTGATATCTATGCACCATTTAAAAACAAAATCTAAGCAAATACCTTGATTCTTAATATTTTTTAAGTACATGGGTAATTATAAAAACTCTAGGAGCTACATCTTATAGGTTACAAAGTCATCACGGTTTTCTGAAGATCTTTCATTAATAAAGGGGGTAGCAGGCAAATTAGAGGAGAAAAATCCCCCAGAAGGTCAGAACATATGCCTAGATTGCCCTTTAGGAGAACCACAATTGTTTTCATCAACATAATAAAACCAAACTTTTGGAAAACATTCCTTTGTAGGTGACATGGGATTGGATAACTCTGATTGAGAGTATGGAGTCACAATCAGGTTGGAATATGTGGGAAAACATTTGCTGAATTATTTGACTGAAGAATGTTAAAATTTAAGTTTTGAATGAGAAAAGGAACATACACTGATTCACTCATTTAAAAAAATAATAGAATAACTGGGATAAAATTCAAAGATATAAAGAGTACAAAAGGAGGAAAGAGAGAAAGATTTACAGGGAAGTGATGCAGGGGAAAAAAGGAAAATGTGTGTGTAGAGGGGGAAAGAAAAGATAAATACATTATGATATAATGTAATAGTATAAAAATCTATTCTTTCATGCTACAGGGAGATAGGCAACTAATGAGAGGAGGAAGGGAAAGAATCCATAAAACCTGGCCTCTATGCATTGAAGCACATATCAAACTCTAATTAAAGCAAAAACTATTCCTTGAGGCTAAGTTTTGAATTGAGTCCTCATTTCCCTCCAAAGTAGAAAGGAAGGGAACAATCGGCTTCAGGAACTTAAATTCAGTGGTCCCTGAGCCACTGGCCAGACACGCCTCATACTGGTAACTCTGGGACAGGGTCCCTGTCCTGCTGACATCCACCAAGTGTCCTGGGAAGGGGCCATTGGAAGAGAAGCGACTAATGTCGGTGGTGTCCTTCTTCCTCTTCCACAGGCGAATGGCAATGAACATAATAACAGAGACCAGAAAGAGAAAGGACACACAGGCCAGGGAAATGACTAGATAGTTAGTAAAGGAGTCATTCTGGACCTGCTCCTTAGATGCATCTGGGAGTTGCAGGTAAGGCTCAGAGAAGCCATCCACCAGGAGCACATTCAGTGTGGCCATTGTGGATAGAGGTGGCTGTCCATTGTCCTTCACCAACACCAGGAGCCTCTGCTTGATGGCATCTCTGTCACTGATGGGCCTTGCTGTTCGAACTTCCCCATTGTGGGCCCACAAAGTGAAGAGTCCTGGGTCTGTGGCCTTGAGCAGCTGGTAGGAAAGCCAGGAATTCTGTCCCCAGTCCCTATCCACAGCCACCACCTTGGTCACCAGGTAACCTAACTCTGCAGCTCTGGGCACCAGGTCATTGCAGGGAGTTGTGCCATTCTGCAAGGGGTACAGCACAAAGGGAGAGTTGTCATTCTCATCTTCTACCAAAACCTGAACCAGAACCTGGCTGCTCAGAGATGGGGAACCACCATCAGCTGCCCTCACAGTGAACTGGAAACCTTGGATAGCTTCATAATCCAGGGATCTCAGAGCATAGAGATGGCCATTGTCTGAGTTGATGGAGATGTAGGAGAAGAGGGGCAGTTCTCCAGTCTCTGGAGGCAGCAGGGAGTAGGTGACTTTGGCATTGATTCCTGAGTCTCTGTCACTGGCACTGACACTGCCAATGTGTAGGGCAGGGCTGTTGTTCTCCTGGAGGTACAGTTTGTAGGCTCTCTGAGAAAACATGGGAGGGTTATCATTGACATCGGAGATGAGCACAGCGATATTGTGCTCAGATTTGAGCCTGGGGGATCCCAAATCCATGACTGTTATAGTGATATTGTACTCAGCCCTGCTCTCTCTGTCCAGTGCTCCCTCTGTTACCAATGTGTAGAAGTTTTCAACGGAAGGTTTCAGGGCAAAAGGAAGATCATCTTGGATGAAGCAAATCATCTTTCCATTTTCTCCAGAGTCAAGATCTGAAACACTGAAAACAGCCACCACAGTCTTGGGAGAATTCTCTGGGATGGGACTAGTAAGTGAAGATACAGTCAGCTCTGGAGGATTATCATTCAGATCTATCACCTGGACAACAACAGTACATTCTGCCGAAAGACCTCCACCATCTGTGGCCTGAATATTTATAGTGTAAGATTGAGTCAACTCAAAATCCACTTTTTCCCTTAGATAAAGTTCCCCCAATTCCTCTGTAAGGTGAAAAGTGTTTCGAATGTTTTCAGAGGCATGCAAAAATGTGTAAGATATTTCTCCATAATTTCCTGCGTCTAAGTCTGTGGCTGATACTGTGACAACCCTGGATCCAATGGAAGTGTTCTCCAGGATCTGAACTTCATAACGGAGCTGAGCAAACACGGGGGCATTGTCATTGATATCCACTACAACGACTCGGACTTGGGCAATTCCAGACCTTGGTGGGACTCCCCCATCCACTGCAGTGAGAGTTAAAGTGACCTCAGATTGCTTCTCCCGATCCAATGGCTCATCCAGTACAAGCTCGGGGTATCTCCTGCCCTCACTGCTCTCTCGAATTTGAACATGGAAAAGGGAATTGGGACTGATTGTATAGTTCTGGATACTGTTGTTTCCTACGTCTAAATCCTGTGCATTTTCTAGTACAAATACAGTCCCGGGAGAAGTGCTCTCCGAGATTTTTAGGAGCATCTCAGTTTCCAAGAACACTGGTGAATGATCATTAATGTCTTGTACCCTTAATTCCACCAGAACAATTTGAAAGGGGTTTTCTAGTAAGACCTTAAAATGTAGCACACAAGGCTCGGCGGGGCCGCACAGCTCCTCCCGATCCAGTTTCTCTCTCAGGCGCAGATCCCCAGTTCTATGGTTCAGCTGCAAATAATCTTTGTTCCCTTTGAAAACGACTCTGGCCCCCCGGTTTGACAGCTCCCCCACCTCCAGGCCCAGGGCCTTTGCCACATTGGCCACAAAGGAGCCTCTCTCCATCTCCTCCACTACTGAAAACTGCTGCGGCTCTGAGGCCGCCCCAGACACACCCAGCAGAACAAGGAGAAAGAGAACTTGCCTTTGTTGCGGAATCATTGCTCCTTCTCGTTCCATTCTTCCTTTCGCCCCCTCCTCTCAGCCTGTGTAGCCCAGCTCGATTGCAAATGGTCACCAGAGGTTACCACTTTAGGCCGTCTCGCTGGTATCTCAGAAATATGAAAGCTCCGAACCCTTCCTATTGTTCCAGCTAAGAAAGCTTCTTTTCCCCTTCTTGACTGATTCAGGCTTGTCTGTCTGGGAAATGGCGTATCCGCCGATCTTTTCTGTGTCTTCTTAGTCTGCAGCGCCACCACGTGGCTATTGTCATCATCTCAGAATGCAGTAGTTAATGCACGGAATATGTGTTTCTTCAAATCAGATGCCGGATGTTGAATTCCTCTATGTACTTCAAAAGATTTCTATAGAATCTATATCAATGTTGCAAGCACTAAGAATTGACACTATTTCTGGTTTAGGACACTTTGTCCAACACCTCACAGATACAAGTATAAATTAAAGATACACCCTGTGAAAGGAATGCAGCCATTAGGGCATTTTGACACAATATTCAAGCTGAAAAAAAAAGCCACATGTTCATCTAGTAGGCCCACTGGGTATGGTTTTTAGAGATCCTAAGGCAGCGCAAGAATACATGGTAAGCTTGTGTGAAAAAGGAAGCATTTTGACTTTATTTTCAGCTATACACGTTCTTCTATTTCTGGAGTCCAAGAGTCTCTAATAAATACCAGACAGAATCACATACTTCTGGTTTGATTTTGCAAGTTTTTAAAGGCTCTGTTTAACTGAATTGGAGGAATGACCTTGTGTTTTCAGGACTCTTTGCCGGCAAGGATGGGATACTATCCACTACTCCTCCCCACCCCAAATATGTGTATGCATATTCCTAAAAATCCACTCACCTAGGACCTGATTCCAGGAAATTATATCTCACCTGTATTTTTTCAGAAAGCAGATCCATTTTCCTGATTCTGGGCAGAAAGAAAGAATGGGAGGATGATCTACTTGTTGATTGCCACCCATTATTCTAAGGTTGATTCAGTCTAAGTCCTGTATGAAAGAATGGTTCTGAGCTGCCCCTTATTTTAAAATGGTTTTATAATTTTTCTTACATTCTTATCACCTCCCAATCATCTACAAACATCCCTCTTAACAATAAAATACAATTAAGCAAAGCAAATAAGTACAACAGGAATGCCTAAAAATTATATGCACCATTCAACACCTATAGTCAATCAGTTTTCTGCAGAGAAAGAGGAGACATACTTCACCTTCTGTCCCCTAAAGACATAATGGGTGACTCCATTGATTGGAATTCTGAAATTTTTCACATTTGTTTTTCTGTAGATAGTTGTGCTTAAATTGTAATTTGTTCTCCTCCTTCTGCTTTAGTTGCGGTGTCAGCTCTTGCAAGTCTTCCCAAGATTTTCTGAAATCATATTTGTTTCTTTGTATTTGTTATTTCTTACTGTATGATAATAACTGCATTAATTCATATATCACAATGTATTTAGTTGTTTGTTAATGGATGGGCACTTATTTTCCTTTCAGTTCTTTTCTACTACCCCAAAAAAGCCCCCCACCTCCTACATCACACTACTTTACTTATGTTAATGTGTACAAATACTTTTTACTTGGGTAGTGTTTATTTTATAATGAACTAAGGTACCCATGTTCTAGGTATCTAAGTTTCTTTGGGAAAACTCATTCAGTGAAAAATCCACCTGGAGGCTTGTGAAATAGCCCTACAAAAACCCAAAGAAAAGAATAAGACCCTTTCATGGGAGGTTAGGCTGATGTTGCACATTCCAGGATGCTATGGCAGAGAGAACACTCTCCTTTCCTGCCTTCACATTCACATATTAGTTTTTTATGTTCAAAATTATTGATATCTTTTGTTTTTTCATACACTCATTTGCCAATAAATCCTTCCCTCTTCCCGTTCTCAGGCACTCATCAGTAATAATGAAGAGAAAAAACAGATCAGCAAAGCTAACTAATCCATCAATGAAGTTGTGTAATGTAGCTAATCTTTTCTTCTTTGGGGCCAAACTTGTGCATTATAATTTCATATCATTAATTTTGAATTTTGGTTTTCATTTCCATTTATTTTGTTTAAGTAATTATTTATATTGTTTTCCTCTTTCATGTTTTCATTTTGTACCACTTGGTGTTTGTTTTCCCATGATTTTCTGTATTATTCAAATTTATTGTTTCTTTCAGTGCAGTTGGATTCCATTACATTCCTGTACCACAATTTGTTTACCCATATGCCAGTTGATGGACATCAGTTGTGTTTATAGTACTTTCCTACTTATGCATTAGCTATTTAGTAACAGAATATCAGTGAAGATAATTAGTTCATTTTCATGTGAATGTAACCAAAAGAGAGGCACATTGGCCTCTTGAAGAGGCAGGACCTGGAATCATGAAAATCTTGATTCAGAATCATCTCTGATAGTTACAGTGTGATCTTCAGCAATTTCCTTAGCCCCTAAGAGCCTCAGGCATATCTATTGTCACTTAAGGGTAAAATGTATCTGCTCCATTGTGGAGTTTGAGTATCTTGGGATGGTTTTCCATCTTAATCTGAATTTGTTCACATATTTTTAAAATTTGTTTATATATTAAAAATGATGATTTCTTTTGGAAAGTTAGATTGCATGTGTCTGTTTTAAGTAATTGATTTCTACTTTCCAATATTGGTAATTGTGCCTTGTTCCACAAAAGTCTGTATTAATTTATATTTCTTCAATTTTAAACATCAAAATATATTAAAAACAATGAAGGGAATAATTGGCCTGAATAACTTGGGGGAGACAATATGTACAACTAAAATTCAAATCCTATCTCTGATTATTATTACTTGTGATATTGGACAAACAATTTTATATCTCTTGGTCTCAGTTTCCTCATCTGTAAAACTAAGGGTCTGGAACAGGTACTTCTGAGGTCTCTTTAGCTCTAGATCTATTATCTTATAACCCTTCCATGTCTGAAGTTCTTTGATCATTTTTAAATGGGCTCATGATCATGTCTCTCAATGGCCACAGATTCAGATATTTAAAAACACACCACTTGATATCACTCCTCTCAACAAGATGTTAATATCCCTGGATTGGAAAATCCCATAAAGTGGGGAATTAAGAAGATACCTTCAGGGAAAGGAAAAAAGGAAATGTTCATTGAAAATGATTTTACTTCAATCCTATTTCTTTTGAAGGATGTTCAGCAACAGATCTGTGGGACTTCAGGAGAAAATTGTTACAAGCCTATTAAAATTGTACACCAGGACTACCTTTCAACACAACAGCTTAATGTAAAGATTAATTATTGTCATTAATTTATAATATTACTGAGAATTAAGAAATCAGAGTAATATGTTTCCTTCATAATTAAGTGTCTCCACATGGAGATAAATTCTATATTCCAGTTAATTCATTTTATGGTTCCTTTCATTGACTTCACAAAGGTGTATTCTAATAAAATTTTATACTGATTCCTCAATGTTCATTATTTTTCTATCATTTTCCCAACAGTTTTTACAGCTGAAGATCAAAATCAGAGACAATCATTAAGAGAATATTTTCCATTGTGCTTATCCTGTGACCCAGCAATACCACTACTAGGTCTGCACCAAAAGAGATCAAAGGAAAAGGATCCATATGTACAAAAATGTTGATAGCAGCTCTTTTTGTGATGGCAAAGAATTGGAATTAAGGGGATGCTCATCAATTGGGGAATGGTTGAGCAAGTTGTGGTATATGAGTTTGATGGGATATTATTGTGCTATAAAAAATAATGAGCAGGATGCTTTCAGGAAAACCTGGGGAGAATTACACAAACTAATACAAAGTGAAATGAGCAGAACTAGGAGACAGTACACAGTATTGTACACAGTAACTACAATATAGTATCATAATTAACTATGAATGACTTAGCTATTCTCGGCAATAAAACGATCCAAAACAATTCCTGAGGACTTATGATGGAAAATGCTATATACCCCCAGAGTAACAATTGATGGAGTCTGAATGCGGACTGAAGTATATTTTTTACTTTATTTTTCCTGGGGAATTTTTTATTCTTGGTCTGTGTCTTCTTTTTGCAAGATGGTTAATGTGGAGATGTTTTACATGACTGCACATGTATAATCTATATCAAATTAGTTACACTCACAAGAAGGGAGAGAATTCGGAGCTCAATTGAAAAAAAAACCAAATGCTAAAACTTTTGTGTTTATATGCAATTGAGAAAAATAAAAATAAACAACATACATACTAAAATGAATATTTTCAATGTAGCTCATTGTTTAAAAATATTATCCAATGGAATTCCATAAACATGAAAGAAAAAGACTATGGTTGTGTGTAAAATTATAGTAACTACAGCAACAAAGTTGTAAAATCATAGCACCTCTTTGAAAATTTTTGATAACATAAAGGCGCATGAAAAGGAGAAAAATACAAATGACTAGGACCTGAATTACCATTCAAGAGGAGCACAATTGGTTCATCAAGAAAAGGATGAACCTTGGAAAACATTTTCTAACATGATACAGCAAGTGATACATGAAGGAGAGAATTCCATAGAAATCAAGACTGAGTATGTTCAATATATGTATGAAATTACTTGATCATAAGCAGTGACAATCTAAGTTTATAATGTGCTAAAGTTCACTTATTCCAAATACCTAATGAGAGATATGAGTAATCTAGAAAAAAAAAGCAATACAAAAGGAGAATAAAAAGACAAAAAGAATGAAGGCTCTTCAGGCTAAGGATGCAGAGAGAAGAGGAAAATGGGAAAATGGGAAAGAGGATGGATATTAAAATAAAATGGGATATCACAAAGTGTATTTTTGTGCTACAGAAAGAAGGAAGACCAATAAGGTGAAGTAGGGTGGAGGATGATCCATTCAAACATAGACCAAAATATTAAGTGAAGCAAAAGCTATTTCTCAAGTGTGAGTTCTCAGTAGGGTCCTTCCCACTTCCCTCAGCAGGTGGAAGACTAGGAAAAATGGGCTTCAGGAACTTAAATTCACTGGTCCCTGAACCACTGGTCAGGCAAACCTCATACTGGTAGCCCTGAGACAAAGTCCCTGTTCCACTGACATCCACCAAGTGACCTGGGAAGGGGCCATTTGAATTAAAATCACCACCATTAGTAGCATCTCTTTTTCTCTTCCACAGGTGGAGGGTGATGAACACAATAACAGAGACCAGGAAAAGACTGGAGACAGAGGCTAGGGAAATGACCAGGTAGGTGGTAAGGAAGTCATTCTTGACCTGCTCCTTAGCTGCATCTGGGAACTGCATGTAGGGTTCAGAGAAACCATCCACCAGGAGCACATTGAGTGTGGCCATTGTGGATAGAGGTGGCTGCCCATTGTCCTTCACCAACACCAGGAGCCTCTGCTTGATGGCATCTCTGTCACTAATGGGCCTTGCTGTTCGAACTTCCCCATTGTGGGCCCACAAAGTGAAGAGTCCTGGGTCTGTGGCCTTGAACAGCTGGTAGGAAAGCCAGGAATTCTGTCCCCAGTCCCTATCCACAGCCACCACCTTGGTCACCAGATAACCTGGCTCTGCAGCTCTGGGCACCAGGTCATTGCAGGGAGCTGTGCCATTCTGAAGGGGGTACAGCACAAAGGGAGAGTTGTCATTCTCATCTTCTACCAAAACCTGAACTAGAGTCTGGCTGCTCAGAGATGGGGAACCACCATCAGCTGCCCTCACAATGAACTGGAAAGCTTGGATGGCTTCATAATCCAGGGATCTCAGAGCATAGAGATGGCCATTGTCTGAGTTGATGGAGATGTAGGAGAAGAGGGGCAGTTCTCCAGTCTCTGGAGGCAGCAGAGAGTAGGTGACTTTGGCATTGATTCCTGAGTCTCTGTCACTGGCACTGACACTGCCAATGTGTAGGGCAGGGCTGTTGTTCTCCCGGAGGTAAAATTTGTAGACTCTCTGAGAAAACATGGGAGGGTTATCATTGACATCAGAGATGAGCACCGTGACATTGTGGTCAGATTTGAGCCTGGGAGATCCCAAATCTGTGACTGTAATAGTGATGTTGTATTCAGCCCTGCTCTCTCTGTCCAGTTCTCCTTCAGTTACCAATGTATAGAAGTTCTCAACAGAAGCTTTCAGGACAAAGGGAAGATCATCTTGGATGAAGCAAATCATCTTTCCATTTTCTCCAGAGTCAAGATCGGAAACCCTGAAAACAGCGACCGCTGTCTCAGGAGAGTTCTCTGGGATGGGATTGCTAAATGAAGACATTGTCAGCTCTGGAGGATTGTCATTCAGATCTATCACCTGAACGATAACAGTACATTCTGCCGAAAGACCTCCACCATCTGTGGCCTGAATGTCGATGGCGTAATACTGCATTAATTCAAAATCTAGTTTTTGTTTTAAATAAAGTTCTCCAGATTTTTCTGTTAGTTGAAAAGTCTTACGAATGTTTTCAGAAGCATGCAAAAATGTATACGATATATCTGCATTATTTCCTGTGTCTAAATCTGTTGCTGAAATGGTGACAACCTTGCATCCAATGGAACTGTTCTCAGGAATCTGAACCTCATACTGGGACTGAGTAAACACTGGAACATTGTCATTGATATCGACTACAAGGATTCGGACTTGGATAGTTCCAGACTTTGGTGGGGCTCCCCCATCTACTGCAATGAGAGTTAAAATCACCTCAGATTGCTCCTCCCGATCCAGGGCTTTATCCAGTACAAGCTCTGGGTATCTCTTACCCTTGCTATTGTTCCGAATTTGACTGTGGAAATGAGAGTTGGGACTGATAGTGTAGTTCTGGAGACTGTTGCTCCCTACGTCTAAATCCTGTGCATTTTCTAGTACAAATACAGTTCCGGGAGAAGTGCTTTCCGAGATTTTCAGTACCACCTCAGTGTCTAGGAACACTGGTGAATGATCATTAATATCTTCCACCATCAGTTCAGCCCGAACAATCTGAAAGGGCTTTTCCAGTAAGATCTGAAAAGGCAGCACACAGGGTTCGGCGGGGCCGCACAGCTCCTCCCGATCCAGTTTCTCTCTCAGGAGCAGATCCCCAGTTCTATGGTTCAGCTGTAAATAATCTTTGTTCCCTTTGAAAACGACTCTGGCCCCCCGGTTTGACAGCTCCCCCATCTCCAGGCCCAAGGCCTTTGCCACATTGGCCACAAAGGAGCCTCTCTCCATCTCCTCCACTACTGAAAACTGCTGCGGCTCTGAGGCCGCCCCAGACACACCCAGCAGAACAAGGAGAAAGAGAACTTGCCTTTGTTGCGGAATCATTGCTCCTTCTCGTTCCATTCTTCCTTTCGCCCCCTCCTCTCAGCCTGTGTAGCCCAGCTCGATTGCAAATGGTCACCAGAGGCTACCACTTTAGTCTGTCTGGTACGGAAAGTCGATCTCTTTCTCCAGGGGCAGCTAACAAAGCTCCCTCTCTGCTTCTGAACTGTCTGATTTCTGGGCCCTTCCTGGATATTGGCGTATTCGCGGAGCTTTTCTGGCTCTTCTTAGTCTGCAGCGCCACCACGCGGCTCTTCATTTTTCTCAGAATGAAGTAAATAATGTCACAGAGAACATGTATCAGATATCATACTTCCAATTCTGTTTTGTAATGAAAATGGTATATAACTTCTTTTCTGCAGAGTTATCCATATCAATGTTATAATCACTCACAACATTACCCCAAATCACACACATATATGCATACAAATATATTTGTTTATACATGTATGTTTTTTAAAAGTTGGTTAAAATGGATATGCTTCTGTCAAGAATGTAGCCTTCCAGACCTTCAGGGTAATAATGAATATTTTATCAGCAAAAGAAAGGACTTAGGCTTTTTTTTAAAAAAAAAGCCGTATTCAACTGTACAATACTTAGAGGTGCAGCCTTGTGAGAGTAAACAGAGAAGAGTAAATGGGGTGTGGGATGGAGAGGAAGGAAGCAGCACCATTTGGGTTGTAAGCAATTGATATTTCCTATTCTTCTCAAGTCTGTTAACTTATAAAACCAAGAAGCTAAGATGTTCTTTATCTGATCCTTTTTGCCATCAAAGGTCTTTCTTCTTCACAACTGGAATGGTGCAAGGGCTCTGTGACCAAGGGGTTCTTTGCTTACAGAATTTGAATATTACCCTGTTTTATGATTTGTTGTATACCACCCAGGGTAGGTAGGTGGCACAGTAGATGGAATCAGGAACACATATTTCAGAGTTCAAATCTGGCCTGAGACACTTCCTAGCTGTGTGACCCTGGGCAAGAGACAACTCAGTTTGACTCAGTTTCCTCACCTATAAAATAACCTGAAGAAGGAAATGACAAACCACTCCAGTATCTTTGCCAAGAAAACCACAAATGGAGTTAAGAAGAGTCACACAAGACTGAACAACAACGGCAACACCATCCAGGAAACTGACTCTCTGAAATCATGGTTCTTAGCCCAAAACTGTGTTTCCCTGGAAAGTAGGGATTTCTTGGAAGGTTCACCATAGACTAAATATGGGCAATAAAAAATGATGAAGTGTTTATTTGAGCCAATAGTTTTAGAAAGGAAGAGGCAGTAATCTGCCAAATGGGACTTGGCTCCTGTCTTAGAGAATAACTCTTACAGGAATGTGGGGTGGGGAGGAGAGAGGAAGAGTAAAAAACAAAGAGAGCATTATTTTCACATTTTAAAACCTGCACAGAAGCTGGCAGAAGGAAACTTAGATAAACGGAGTAATTTTGAAAATGACATTCAATTTATCATATGTACATTTTAAAGTAAGGTGTAAGAAATAGAGATTTGTAGCTTCATATACAATACTCTGTTCTCTTTTTACGGAATTTTTTTCTGTGTGTTTATTAAGCTTAGAAATAAAAAAGCTTAAAATATTAAAGGAGAGAGAGAGAGAGAGAGAGAGAGAGAGAGAGAGAGAGAAAGCAATCAGAGGCATCTTTTAACTTCATTCCATTCCTCTGCTACAAGGAGGATAACGTCCCTGATTTACAAAGTCCCTGTTTCACCAAATCAACTTCTGAAACAATGAGAAGAGCAAAAATAAGAAACAAAAAAAAAAGAGTAAAATTCCAGTAGAGTATATGCTGATTCTACCTGCAGAGAATGTTCTGACGTTGGAAACTCACCCATCCCAACTTCACATTTTCTATTTTACGTTTTAATGATATAAGATCACGGGAAATTAACTGCAGAAAACTGGATCATTTCTACAGTAATATTACCCAAAAAAAGAGGCAACATGGTTTAGGAGACAATATGTTTAGCTGGAGTCAGGAATACCCAGTCAAATATCCCTCCTCTGACACTTACTACTTATCTGACCATTGTTGAGCCACTTAATATCTATGTGCTAGGGGCTACTCCCTAACGATTGTGTATTAAGTCACAGCTGAATTGTTCCTCAAGTTGAAGAAATCACAAATCTTTTGTGCATCAGGTCATGAAAAGAAGGAATGTGCTTGCCTCATATTGAACCCCAAATAATTATAGAGTGATATATGGTACATCTTTTGATCTATCTTTTAAAATAATAAAAATAAAATAATTAAATAATAAAAAAACTTTTTTTCGAATTAAAGAATAGATTGTGACCTCAAAAAAATGCAACTTTTTTTTCCACTTTCAAATCTAGGTGATCATATCTTGTGTGAAAAATAGAGGTGTTCCATAAATGGTATTTCTTCAAAATTGAACACTGATTTAACCAAACTGAGTTGAAAGACATTCTGTGATAAAATTCAGAAGGACTATGGATGAAGCCTCTCAAAGACCTCAGAGAGATATTATAAAAGCAATACTTTGTCCAACACTCATGAACAGGTATATTCCTAAAACTGAAAAATGATTTAAATAACCAGAAGGGAAAACAAAGACATATTTATTTAAACTTATTTTCAGGCCTTGAGGAGGGAAAGGAATAAGCATTTAGTTAATACTTATTATGTACTAGGCACTGTGCTAAGATCTTTACAAACATCATCTCATTTAAACCTCACTACAACCTTGTGAGGTAGATGTAAACATTTAAATCTATAGAATTGAAGGAAAAAAGTGGCATAAACATATACAAAGTAGTTCACAAGAATGGCTTCCCAGAGCCATAACAACAGGCACTACTCTACTTCTTGATATTTATATTAAGAACATGCAAAGATTGACAATCATCATTAATGTGCAATGTAATTGGAATATTCAGTGATCAGAAGTCAGCATTTAGTATATCATAAATGTCTCCAAGCCATGATATATTCTTTCTTTATAAGAATTTACCATATAGTTGTATTTATTAGTTTCATAAAAGTGTATTCTAGCAAATTTTTTCCATCATTACCTTAGTGTCTTTTATTAGTACTTGTTATTTCCCCAAAATAGGCATTGCTTATAGGATTGACATCAGAAACCACAAGTAAGAATATTTTCAGTGATGTCTACACACCACTTAAGAACAAATTCAAGCAAATATCTTGGATCTTAATTTTTTCCAAAGTACATGGGTAATTATAAAAACTCTAGGAGCCACAGCTAGTAGATTACAAGGTCATCACTGTTCTCTGAAGATCTTTCACTAATAAAGGGGAGGGGGGTAAATAAGAGGAGAAAAATCCCTCAGAAGGTCAGAACAGATACCTAAGTTGCCATTCAGGAGAGCCACAATTATTTTCACTGTCTTAATAAGAATGAACTCTTGGAAAACATTCCTTTGTAGGTGACACAGAATAGAATAATTCTGAGAGAATGGAGTCACAATCAAGTTTGAGTACTTGAAAAACATTTGCTGAATTATTTGAGGTTTGTTAAAATTTAAGTTTTAAATAAGAAAGGGAACATATGATGGTTCACTCATTTCAAAAAGAGTAATAGAGTAACTGGGAGAAAATTCAAAGACCCAAGGAGAACAAAAGGAGGAAGAAGAGAAAGATGTACAGGGACAAAATGCAGGGAGAAGAGGAAAAAGTGTGTGTAGAGAGGGAAAGAGAAGATAAATACATTATGATGCAATGTAATAGTATAAAAATCTACTCTTTTGAAAAAAAAATCTACTCTTTCATGCTACAAGGAGACAGGCAATTAATGGGAGGGGGAAGGAAACGAATCCATAAAACCTGGTCTCTATGCATTGAAGCACATGGCAAACTTTAATTGAAGCAAAAACTATTCCTTGAGGCTAAGTTTTGAATCGAGTTCTCATTTCCCTCTGAAGTAGGAAGGATGGGAACAATTGGCTTCAGGAACTTAAATTCAGTGATCCCTGAGCCACTGGCCAGACAGCCTCATACTGGTAACTCTGGGACAGGGTCCCTGTCCTGCTGACATCCACCAAGTGTCCCGGGAAGGGGCCATTGGAAGAGAAGCGACTAATGTCGGTGGTGTCCTTCTTCCTCTTCCACAGGCGAATGGCAATGAACATAAAAACAGAGACCAGAAAGAGAATGGACACACAGGCCAGGGAAATGACTAGATAGGTAGTAAGGGAGTCATTCTGGATCTGCTCCTTAGATGCATCTGGGAGTTGCAGGTAAGGCTCAGAAAAGCCATCCACCAGGAGCACATTCAGTGTGGCCATTGTGGACAGAGGTGGCTGCCCATTGTCCTTTACCAACACCAGGAGCCTCTGCTTGATGGCGTCTCTGTCACTGATGGGCCTTGCTGTTCGAACTTCCCCATTGTGGGCCCACAAAGTGAAGAGTCCTGGGTCTGTGGCCTTGAACAGCTGGTAGGAAAGCCAGGAATTCTGTCCCCAGTCCCTATCCACAGCCACCACCTTGGTCACCAGATAACCTGGCTCTGCAGCTCTGGGCACCAGGTCATGGCAAGGAGCTGTGCCATTCTGAGGAGGGTACAACACAAAGGGAGAGTTGTCATTCTCATCTTCTACCAAAACCTGAACCAGAACCTGGCTGCTCAGAGATGGGGAGCCACCATCAACTGCCCTCACAGTGAACTGGAAAGCTTGGATGGCTTCATAATCCAGGGATCTCAGAGCATAGAGATGGCCATTGTCTGAGTTGATGGAGATGTAGGAGAAGAGGGGCAGTTCTCCAGTCTCTGGAGGCAGCAGGGAGTAGATGACTTTGGCATTGATTCCTGAGTCTCTGTCACTGGCACTGACGCTGCCAATGTGGAGGGCAGGGCTATTGTTCTCCTGGAGGTACAATTTGTAGGCTCTCTGAGAAAACACTGGAGGGTTATCATTGACATCAGAGATGAACACTGTGATATTGTACTCGGATTTAAGCCTGGGGGATCCCAAATCCATGACTGTTATAGTGATATTGTACTCAGCCCTGCTCTCTCTGTCCAGTGCTCCCTCTGTTACCAATGTGTAGAAGTTCTCAACGGAAGATTTCAGGGCAAAAGGAAGGTCATCTTGGATGGAGCAAACCACCCTTCCATTTTCTCCAGAGTCAAGATCTGAAACACCAAAAACAGCGACCACTGTCTCAGGAGAGTTCTCTGGGATGGGACTGGTAAGTGAAGATATAGTCAGTTCTGGAGGATTGTCATTCAGATCTATCACCTGAACAACAACGGTACATTCTGCAGAAAGACCTCCACCATCTGTGGCTTGAATATTTATAGTGTAAGATTGAGTTGATTCAAAATCCACTTTTTCCTTTAAATAAAGTTCTCCCAATTTCTCTTTAAGGTGAAACGTTTTACGAATGTTTTCAGAGGGATACAAAAATATATAAGATATATCTCCATAATTCCCTACGTCTAAGTCTGTGGCAGAGACTGTGACAACCTTGGATCCAACGGAACTGTCCTCAGGGATTTGAACCTCATATTGGAACTGAGTGAACACGGGCGCATTGTCATTGATATCCACTACGAGGACTCGGATTTGGGCAGTTCCAGACCTTGGTGGGACTCCCCCATCCACTGCAGTGAGAGTTAAAGTGACCTCAGATTGCTTCTCCCGATCCAATGGCTCATCCAGTACAAGCTCGGGGTATCTCCTGCCCTCACTGCTCTCTCGAATTTGAATATGGAAAAGGGAGTTGGGACTGATTGCATAGTTCTGGAGACTGTTGTTTCCTACGTCTAAATCTCTAGCATTTTCTAGTAGAAACACAGTACCAGGGGTGGTGCTCTCCGGGATTTTTAGAAGCATTTCAGTTTCTGAGAACACTGGTGAATGATCATTAATATCTTGTACCCTTAATTCAGCCAGAACAATCTGAAAGGGCTTTTCCAGTAAGATCTTAAAAGGCAGCACACAGGGTTCGGCGGGGCCGCACAGCTCCTCCCGATCCAGTTTCTCTCTCAGGAGCAAATCCCCGGTTTTAGGGTGCAGCTGCAAATACTCTTTGTTCCCTTTGAAAACGACTCTGGCCCCCCGGTTTAACAGCTCCCCCACCTCCAGGCCCAGGGCCTTTGCCATATTGGCCACAAAGGAGCCTCTTTCCATCTCCTCCACTACCGAAAACTGCTGCGGCTCTGAGGCCGCCCCAGACACACCCAGCAGAACAAGGAGAAAGAGAACTTGCCTTAGTTGCGGAATCATTGCCCCTTCTCGTTCCATTCTTCCTTTCTCCTCCTCCTGTCAATTTCTGTAGCGCAGTTCAACCACAAATGGCAAGCAGAAGCTACAATTGTCTCCTGCCCTGTTGAAACCTCAGAAATATGCAAGGCAGGGTCCTTTCCCAGAGTTCCAGCTAAGAAAGATTCAGCTCTCCTTCCCTACTGTCTTTGTTGGTATTGACGTATCAGCTGATTCTTTGAGCCTCTTCTTAGTGTGCAGCGCCACCACGCGGTTCATTTTATTATGCTTCTCTTCCGTTAATTTCTCAAGTACTGAGTACCTCTTCTCAGACAGCTTATCTTGAATTCTGGTCTGAATTTGACAGAGTTTGTAATATCTTAGAAAAGATATTTTCCGGTAGAAAGAGGGAGATCTGGATCAGCGCTGTAACCATTCACAACTTTGCCCCAAACCACACAGATGTGTGTTATTTTCAGTTCGTTTAAAAGGAGCTCAGCCTTCAGTCAATGATGCAGCCCTCTCTTGTTCCGGCAAACATTAGGGTGTTTCACAGGTTGCACACGAACTCTTTGGGTTAAGAGAAAGTCACGGCACATTCTACAATGCTTAGGGGATACAGCCTTTAGAGAACCAGGGTAAGAGAGGGAGTAAATAGCCAAGACTGTGTGGGAGAAAGGAAGAAGCAGGGTTTTTTTTTAAGCTAATGCTTTCTGTTCTGAAGTCTGTGAGCCTATAAGACTGAAAAGAGATCCTAACAAGCTCTTGATCTTCACTAGTTGCTCATTAAAGGCCTTTCTGCACAACTAGAATTATGCAAGGACCCATTACCCAAGGATCTCTTTCCTGGTAAATTTTGGATACTACTGCCCCCTGCCTGTTTTATGACCCATTTATGACAACCCTTGAAATTAAGGCCATAGTGGTCTGAGCCCAGAATTGTGTTTTTCTAGAAAATAAGGATTTTTTGGAAAGGTTCCTTCGGACTGAGTGTGGACATCAGGAAAAGATGAAGAGTTTTTCCAGAGCTAGTCAGTTTAGAAGAGAAGAGGGAAATAATGTGATGATAGAATGGCTCTTGTAGTAGAAGGAAAGAAAGAAAGAAAGAAAGAAAGAAAGAAAGAAAGAAAGAAAGAAAGAAAGAAAGAAAGAAAGAAAGAAA